GAGTTTCGCTCTTGTTACCCAGGCTGGAGTGCAATGGCGCGATCTCGGCTCACCGCAACCTCCGCCTCCTGGGTTCAGGCAATTCTCCTGCCTCAGCCTCCTGAGTAGCTGGGATTACAGGCACACGCCACCATGCCCTGATGATTTTTTGTATTTTTAGTAGAGACGGGGTTTCACCATGTTGACCAGGATGGTCTCGATCTCTTGACCTCGTGATCCACCCGCCTTGGCCTCCCAAAGTGCTGGGATTACAGGCGTAAGCCACTGTGCCCGGCCGCCTCCATTTCTTTCTTTATTTTTTTTTTGAGACAGAGTCTCCTTCTGTCACCAGACTGGAGTGCAGTGGTGCAATCCTATAAGCTGAGCTAAATTTTGTATTTTTAGTAGAGGCAGGGTTTCACCATGTTGGCCGGGATGGTCTCCATCTCTTGACCTGGTTATCCACCCGCCTCAGCCTCCCAAAGTGTTGGGATTACAGGCCCGGCTGTGAGACTATTTCAAAACAAAACAACACAACAAAACAAAACAATACTCTGGTCATTGTGGGTAGCTGACCATAGAGGCAAGGATTGAAGGAGATGCTATATTGAAAATCCAGGTAAGAAATGATGATGGCTCAGGCAGTGGTAAAGAAGGAAAGAAGTGCTCACGTAGCTATCCAAGAGTTCCTTTAAGTATTTTTAAAAGAAGTTTGAACTGCATTTTCTTTTTTAGTTTCTTAAAGTACAATTTGGATACAAATAAACAGTTTAGAAGCAGAGATAAATAATATTCCCCTCCCAGGAGCAGAATGTGGGATGAGCAGTGTGGGCTAGGTAGCGTTTGAGGAGGGGTCAAGGAGAGGAGGACATTGGGTACAGGAGATCCATTAAATGATGGAGGAAAAAGTTACTTTTGGCTGATTCTCCAGGTGCAATCCCTTGGTTCAGCAGAAGGTAGCATGCTAAATTGCTTTTTTCTTCTCCTGTCCTTCCCTATGCCTAAAAGTCTCTTGAGCCAATGGATTCTACCTTAGTGATACCTCTAAAGAGTTTTCTGAAGCTCCAGCCCCCTAGATTAACTTAATCTCTCCTCCTACCCAATTGTGATTTTGCTCAGTAGAGGACATCTTGAACAGCTATGGCAAGGACACCTGCCCTTGGATACTTACTTGCCCACATTCCATGTGCCTTTAACCAAATCACATTATGTATCTTGACTTCAGTTTCCTCATCTCTGAAAGGAGGGGACAGGAGTAAATGTCAACAGTCACATCTCACCCTAAAGTTTCATTGTGTTTTTCTTTCAGCTCCTTCCCAGAGTAAAACCGCTATGATCTCCTGATTTACAAGCCTGTATGCAGGTTTATTTTATTTTATTTTGAGACAGAGTTTCACTCTTGTTGCCCAGGCTGGAGTGCAATAGCACGATCTTGGCTCACTGCAACCTCCGCCTCCTGGGTTCAAGCAATTTTCCTGCTTCAGGCTCCCAAGTACCTTTACAGGCATGCGCCACCAAGCCCGGCTACTTTTGTATTTTCACTAGAGAGGGGGTTTCACCATGTTAGTCAGGCTGCTTTCAAACTTGACCTCAGGTAATCCACCTGCCTCAGCCTCCCAAAGTGCTGGGATTACAGGCATGAGCCACCATGATGGCCACAGGTTTATTTTTAAATAATCTTGTAATACACCTATGGCAATGTAATTATACAGATATTGTTACATGAGTATTAAACTCTAAGTCAGTAGGAAGACACTAAAACCAGAATGAAAACATAAATGGATGTGGGACCTGAAAGGAACAATGACAAAAAGTGGGTAATGGAGTATATTGTGCTTCACGTTTTGCTGAAATTATAGTAAATGTGATAAGAGACCTGTTTGGTGTTCAGAATTTTTACCTAAGAGAGAATGATTAGTTTTTCCTTTTTCATAATTCTCTGTCACGGTTAACTTACTTTTTAGCTTAATCATGAGAAAAATAGGCAGGCACATCTATGTGCCATGGTGGAAGCAGAGGGGAGGATGTGCTAAACACTTTTAAACAATCAGATCTCATAATTACTCACACATCCACTATAGCAAAAATAGCACTGGCTGGGTGTGGTGGCTCACACCTATAATCCCAACATAAGGGAGGCAGCTCACCTGAGCTTAGGAGTTCAAGACCAGCCTGGCTAAGGAGGTGAAACCCTGTCTCGACTAAAAATACCAAAAAAATTCGCCCGGCATGGTGGCTTATGCCTGTAGTTCCAGCTACTCAGGAGGATGAAGGAGGAGAATAGCTTGAACCTGGGAGGTGGAGGTTGTAGGGAGCCGAGATCGCACCACTCACTGCACTCCAGCCTGGGTGAGAGAGCGAGACTCCATCTCCAAAAAAATAAAAAATAGCACTGAGGGGATGCTGCGAAACCATTCATGAGAAACTGCCCCTATGATCTAATTACCTTCCTCCAGGCCGCACCTCCAACGTTAGGGATTACAACTGAATATGGGATTTGGGTGGGGACACAGACCCAAACCATATCGAATGATTTCCAAAGATCACCCACCCATTTTTTTCTTTTAATTATAAGGCATTACCATTAAAGATGTCCCAAATATTTTCTCCTCTTGTAAAAGTATTGTTAATTTAAAGAGGTGGCTTCACTTACCTACACCATCGGCCAGGTTACCTTTATAGTAGTAGAAGTGGGGTCACCGCTCAAACAGGGGCACAGGGTAGGTAGCCATGGGCACTGTGGCCTTTTGGTAGGTAGTTGGTCCCTTATGAGACATCAGCTCCCATGGGCGCCTGCCCTGGCGAGCCCACTGCTGTCAGGCCTAGAGATGGGTCTTAGACCACATTTAATGGCAAAAGCTTTGGAAAGCTGCATTCCCATGCCGGTTTCTTTCCCTATGTTGTATTTTGTTTCAGTTGGGATAAAAAAAGAAAGGTGCAAACGCTGCTTTCAGCAATCAGACAGACTTATTTATTAGGTAAAGACCATGAGCAATATCTACCCTGGAGACTGGAGAATGTGATGGAAACGGAAGGTGTGAGCCTAGAGTCCACTGGCAAGACAAGCCACATGTATTCAGGAACATGCTCAGGGGCAAATACAGAGGTGCAATTGGTCCAGCTGTGCTGAGCACAATGATGTAGCATTAAGGGACCCCGAGGAGAGGCAGCATGTAGGAGAGCCAGATGGGGTGAAAGGTGGCATAGAGTGGAACTGGAGGCGGTTGAAGCTAAACGAAGGTGTGTGTAAGGGGTTCGGGCATTGGGATGAAGGCTGAGGAGGCATAAGGCTGAGATGGTGGCTGATCAAGTGGTGGTGTCACTGAAGAATGATTCCTAGGAATGCTTTTGAAATGGAGAGATCTATATCAAGAAGAAGAGGGCAACTGGAAACTTGTGGAGTCAACAAACTGAGGGTGGAATGACCTCCAGGCAAGGGAGCAACAGGAGGGTGCAGAGAAAGGAAAAGGACACAAGGGACAGCTGTGCAAACAGCTTTTGAGTTTTGTCAAAAATTCGTCTATCACACTTTCTGCCTGACCATCCCTGCTCGTCTCAGTTCCTCTCTGCTCCCACTTTTCCACAGCTTAGCACCCATAGAAGTAGGGCCAGTCTCCTCTATCCTATAGGATATGGCTTAGAAAATTTGAGATATAGGCTGTAAAAACTCCATGGCTGTGTGTTCATCATGTACATCACTTCCCTGCATCAAGTTTCCTCCAAGGTCCTTTATGGGACTTCAGCCTGAGACTGTCCTTCCGCTGCACATTTTGAGTTTTCCACTTGCCTAAAGCCTGTCTTTCCACATATCCTTATCTGGGATACCAAGACATTTCAACCACAACCCCAGGCTAACCTGACCCCATCTGGATCCCTAAGCTGTCCTTTGAGTTTGCTCCAAGTAGTTTAATATAGGTTCTAGCCTTAAGGGATGAGGAGAACACTAGAAGCACTTTGAGTTACCTACCCCTTCATCCCCCAAATATTGGTACAGAAACAGATTAGGAAGGTGCAATCCTCATCCTCTCTAGCAGCAGCAAGGCAACCTTCACAGGATTAATTAATCACCACCCAATAGGAAGAAGCAGGCTGGGTGAAGCTGGCAGGTGAAGCTTCAGAAGACTACGGAGGAGAGGGGTTAGAGCAAAGGAAAACAGATGAGCTGGGATTTTTTTTTAAGACACTCCTTGGCTGGGCTGGGTAGGGATGAGCTTAGAATGGAGAGTGTCTGCATCCCTGGAGGCAGAGTCCTCCCCCATGGAGGGCAATGGGATCTCCTTAGAAAGGTTCGGGACATTAGCAATGACTGTGTCCCCTTCAGGCCCATCAGCAACTGGGCAGATGGTCAGGGGCTTTTTACCACAGGACCACAGGCAAAAGAAGGGCCGGAGCGGGCCACAGAAAGAGGTGTTGTCGAAAGTGTAGATATGGGAGCCATTATTCATACTGTAGAAGGAGATGTCTCCTGATTCATAGTCCAGGAAAATCCCAACCCGGCGGGGGCGGCCTGCCAGTGGCAGAGGGGTCCGAAGAGGGGTGAGGGCCCAGTACCCATTTCCATACAACTCCACAGCCCAGAACCCATTCTCAGGAGTCATGGGGTCGAAGCCTTTCTTCACCACGTTCTCCCTGCACACACCGATGGCCCAGTCAGTCCTGTCTCCCACCTCCACCTCCCAGTAATGCCTTCCCGATGTGAAGGCCTCACGGCCCAACACACAGGGCCAGGAGTCAAATCTCTCTGGTTTCTCAGGCAGTTTCTGATGTGAATCTTCCAGTTGAACAGATTTTGAATCCTCATAAATAAAGAGGTGGGGATGGGCTGTGTCTGGGTCCAGAGTCACGTCCACTGCAGAGAGAGCAACAGCAGGTCTGACGTCAGTGAACGTTACAGATTACAGGACTATCTTTCCTTTCCCAAGAAACAGAGCACTGTTGTAGGAGTTGACAGGACTCCTGGAGGTGGGAGATGTTTGGTCTGCTCAGGGGTCTCCACTCACCACAGGATGCCCCCTGACCAGCAGCCAGAGGGTGATGTAAGGGCTGATTGTGCCTAGAGCCTAATGGGACCCTGCCAGAAGGGGATTTCTCCCGGCCATCTTCTGAGGGTTCTCTACGTGACTCACGGAAACTGTTGAGGCCATTTGTCGTCACCGTTTTCCTTCCTGTCCTCATCACTAAACTGTGTTAGTGTTTTCATTGGCAAGTATCATAGCACTTTGACTTCCTAGGGGATAGAGCCCCAGAAGTTCAGAGCCACTGACCTGCATGCAATGTAGCCTTTTTCCATTCTGCAACAAAAGAGAAAGATAGTCACTGATAGGCTACATAATAAGAGAGAGAAAACTCTATGGGTGAAATAACGACAAGAAGACAGGACTTACTGAGTTCTTCCAAGAGTTTCTCTGGAAAACAAACAAAAATGTCTCAGTGGTTTTCCACAGTGGACACAAAGGAGGGGACAAAACTTGTGTGGGAAACATACAAAGGAGGACTGTTTAATTCATATTGAAACATTGCCAATAAATCAAGAACAAGGATTTTGTTTAGCTTTGTTTTCGAAGAATGATGCAGGAAGTTCCTACATACTGGAACTGGCTTGGGATCAGATCTTTTTTTTTCTTTTTTTGAGATGGAATCTCTCTCTGTTGCCCAGTCTAGAGTGCAGTGATGCAATCTTGGCTCACTGTAACCTCTGCCTCCCAGATTCAAGCAATTCCCCCTACCTCAGCCTCCTGAGTAGATGGACTACAGGTGTGTATCACCACCCTGGCTAATTTTTTTGTATTTTTAGTAGAGACGGGGTTTCACCATGTTGTCCAGTCTAATCTTGAACTCCTGACCTCATGTGATCCACCTACCTTGGCCTCCCAAACTGCTGGGATTACAGGCATAAGCCACTGTGCCCAGCTTCAGATCTTTAATAATAAGATTGGTAGCGGGGCGCAGTGGCTCACACCTGTAATCCCAGCAGTTTGGGAGGCCGAGGTGGGCAGACCACAAAGTTAGGAGTTTGAGACCAGCCTAGCCAACATAGTGAAACTCCATCTCTATTAAAAATACAAAACATTAGCCGGGCGTGATGGTGGGCGCCTGTAATCCCAGCTACGTGGGAGGCTGATGTAGGAGAATTACTTGATCCCGGGAGGTGGAGATTGCGGTGAGCTGAGATTGTGCCACTGCACTCCAGCCGGATGACAGAGTGAAACTCGGTCTCAAAAAAATAAATAAATAAAAAATAAGATTGGTGCTGGGTAACTGAGGTAAAAGTGGGAGTAAGGTCTGAGGGTGGATAGCAAGTAAACATCAGGTCGGATATCTTTTTTTTTTTTTTTTTTTTTTTTTTTTTTTTTTTGAGACGGAGTTTCGCTCTTGTTACCCAGGCTGGAGTGCAATGGCACGATCTCGGCTCACCGCAACCTCCGCCTCCTGGGTTCAGGCAATTCTCCTGTCTCAGCCTCCTGAGCAGCTGGGATTACAGGCACGCGCCACCATGCCCAGCTAATTTTTTGTAGCTTTAGTAGAGACGGGGTTTCAACGTGTTGACCAGGATGGTCTTGATCTCTTGACCTCGTGATCCACCCGCCTCGGCCTCCCAAAGTGCAGGTCGGATATCTTGATTAGACTCTGCCTGTGCCCCAACCCTCTGTGCTTCTTCATACTGGGCATCTGTGACTTCAGGAGCCTTATGATTCCTTCAAATTTTTAGATTTCTAGAATCAAGTATCTTCTTTTTTATCTTTCACCCAGGCTAGAGTGCAATGGTGCAATCTTGGTTCACTGCAACCACCGCCTCCTGGGCTCAAGTGATTCTCCTGCTCAGCCTCCCAAGTGGCTGGGATTACAGGCACCCACTACCATGCTCTGCTAATTTTTGTATTTTTAGTAGAGATGGGGTTTCACCACGTTGGCCAGGCTGATTTCGAACTCCTGACCTCAGGTGATCCACTCACCTTGGCCTCCCAAAGTGCTGGGATTATAGGCTTGAGCCACCACGCCCAGCCTCAAGTATCTTCCTGTCATCCTAAAGGACTTGGGTCCAGCCTGCCTCTGAAGCACTCCTGACATGTAGTCCTTGTGGATACTATGATTTACCTTTAGAGCTGAATTCATTCTTCTTCTCTCTGGATCTTTCCTTGTATAGTCTCCAAGTGAAAAATATGGACCCAATGGTGAGAAGTCCTAGAATCATCAGGATAACAGCCACAGCCACTATCCAGGGAGTCAGCCTTGGGAGGGAGGAAGCTAAAACAAAATCCCCAAGAAGGACATTAGTTGAGAAACTCTGAGCAAGTCCAGCTTCTCTCCACATTCCAAAGGAGGGCAGAAGAGGTGATGGCCTGGACTACTCTCATCCCTCGTAGAGTGAAAAATAGTCACTCCAGTGTCACTCTAAACTTTTCAGGAAAAAAATGACTTTGAGCCGGAGATGGCAGAGAAAGAGAGAAATGAAGAGTCATTTTGGGACAGGACCTGTGAAATAATAAATATAATGGACCAATTCATGTCATTATGGAAGTTCCTCCTTAACTATCAGTGCAGAATGGGAGCCAAGAGGATGCAGGAGGTAAATAAGGAAGGAGAAATGTGCCTCTGTATGTAACAGAATGGGACTCACTGACCAAAGAATAAGGAAAGCTTCCTGCCTAAACCAGAGACAGTACCTGGGGAATAATGAGAGGATTTGCCACCTTGAGGACCCTGGAAACCTAGACAGAGCTCTAGCATGGGATGGGAGGGAGAAGTGGGTATAGGTGGAAATAGCAAAAGTTGAAAAATAACTTAGTCTTTTTGTTTATTTGAGGAGAGAAGGTTCTGGATCAGGAAAGCCTCCAGCGACAAACTTTCTCTTCTCACTTAGATCTTCTAAAATGGAAAATCTGGAATTTGGCTGGGCCTGTAATCCCAGCACTTTGGGAGGTTGAGGCAGGCAGATTGCTTGAGTCCGGAAGTTCAAGATCAGCCTGAGGGACATGGTGAAACCCTGCCTTTGCTAAAAATACAAAAAATTAGCTGGGCATGGTGATGTACACCTATAGTCCCAGGTATTCTGAAGGCTGAGGCAGGACAATCGCTTGAACCTGAGAAGCAGAAGTTGCTGTGAGCTGAGATCATTCTGCTGCTACACCACTCCAGCCTGGGCAACATAGCAAGGCTGTCTAAAAAATAAATAAATAAATAAATAATCTGAAATGTATATGAGATCCAGGTAGGTTTATATCTTCAGAATTTTTATTAAAAAAAATTTTTTTTTTTAAAGACGAGGTTACACCATGTTGGTCAGGCTGGTCTTGAACTCCCGACCTCAGGTGATCCTCCCGCCTTGGCCTCCAAAGTGCTTGGATTACAGGTGTGAGCCACCACGCCCAGTCAGTTTTTTTGAGACGGTATCTTGCTCTGTCGCCCACGCTGGAGTGCAGTGGTTCCATCTTGGCTCACTGCAACCTCCACCTTCAGGTTCAAGCAATTCTCCCACCTCAGCCTTCCAAGTAGCTGGGATTACAGGCACCCACTACCATGCCTGGCTAATTTTTGTATTTTCAGTAGAGATGGGATTTCATCACGTTGGTCAGGCTGGTCTCAAACTCCTGACCTCGTGATCTGCCTACCTTGGCCTCCCAAAGTGCTGGGATTACAGGCATGAGCTGCCATGCCCGGCCTAAGAATTTCTAATCAAGTTGGTGGGGCTCCCTCAAGTCAGTGGACAAGATCTTAGGTGGGGAAAGTAGACAACTCTGCCATGGGGTCACATCTGGGCAGGTGTTCTAGGTGGTGTGGCTCTGAAGCTGTATCAACATAGGAGTTCAGCATTGGTTCCACTAACCTGGTATGGATATCTCTACTTCCTTCTCCTGGCCGAGAAGGAGATTCTGGATGTAGCAGGACACATTATTCACGGAAGTGTCTCTGATGATCACTGAAGCAGCCACAGTGAACAAACCTTCTTCATCAGGATTCCTGGACTCTGATGTAGATGGAAACTTCTCTCCCTTGGAAGTTCTCCACTGCACCTGGGGCTCTGGGTACCATCCCACCGAGGTGCACTCCAGCTGAATTTCTCCATTCTCTTGAACTTGCATAGTGATGTGAGGGTCAGAGCCCAGAGCTATGGAGAAAGAATCTGAACTTAATGTTTTAGTGGACCCCTTTTGGGAGCCTTATAACTGTAGAGACACACAGTTTAAGAAAGAGAGAGAGAGAGGCACAAGTGGACTGGTAGTGGGAGGAACTCATCTCCATATTTCAATACACAAGGAAACTGAGGACCAGGCACAGTGGTTTATGCCTGCAATATCAGCACTTTGGGAGGCCAAGGCAGGATTGCTTGAGTCCAGGAAGATTCAGACCAGCCTGGGCAACATAACGAGACCCCAACTCTTCGGGCATAGTGGTTCATGCCTGTATTCCTAGCTATCTGGAAGGCTGAGGCAGGAGGACTGCTTGAGTTCAGCAGTTCAATGGTGCAATGACCTGTGATGGCAACACTGTACTCCAGCCTGGGTGACAGAGTGAGATGCTGTTTCTAAAAAAAAAAATTTTTAAAGGAAACTGAAGTACCAATAAAAGGAATTTCATATACCTTATCAGAAAGGGATGCCTTGTTGGGATCAAGCCTTTGAAATGTTTGAAACAGTTTGGTGGGCAGACATGGGGGTGCTTGTCTAGCCAGCAAGAACACTAAGACCAGTAACTCAGAGGCAGGTTAGTGATCTAGGCTGAGAGTCCCAGAGCTGGCCGATAGCTCTGTGGTTGACGGCATTATGAGAAAGCGTTGGTGGGGAGGAGGAGAGCTAGGACTGGGTATTTAAGGACGAACAGAGGACTATCCTTGAGGATTGGAAGTTCTTTGCCCTGAGATTATAGTTGACAATTTAAGCTTCCTTTTTTTTTTTTTTTTTTTTTTTTTTTTTTCCCCGAGACAGGGTTTCACCATGTTGGCCAGACTGGTCTCGAACTTCTGACCTCAGGTGATTCGCCCGCCTCGGCCTCCCAAAGTGCTGGGGTTACAGGCGTGAGCCACTGCACCCAGACAATTTGAGCTTCCTTAAGCTTAAATTGGTGAATCAGAAATTCTCTTAAGTGGTCTCAACTTCATCTTTTTTCACAAAACGGTGGTCTAATGTAAGTAAACATACCGTTTTTCCTGTGTGTTCAGCCTACTTTTTTCTCTAATTCCACATGGTACAGAAAAACACTGAGCTGACTAGAAGAGTTCTTAAGGACATTTCCACAACCACGGGTTGAAATTCATATTCCAAGAATGTGTGTATATATAAGAATGTATATTCTTTTCATGGAAGGAGTTGCCACTTTCAGCAGATTCTCAGTGGTGTCTGTCACTCATAAAAGGTGACAAATTTTATGCCATCAAATCTCTAGGTTTTTACCTTTAAGATACTTCTCCCCTAAAGAGAAAATGTCAAAATTTGAATTATACATGATGCTGTAACAGCGGGGACCCTGTTGTGAAGCAGGGACCCACATTTCATCCAAGTATCTTTCAAATTTTGTTTACCTGAATATATACCTATGTATATAGATATTACATAAAATATGTATATATGATATATATATATGAGAAAGGCAATTTGTTTGTATATGTTTTAGATCTGTTTAAGGCACAGTATAGTATCTAATAAGTCTATAATGTGTTTTTATTTTGAGACTGAGTCTTACTCTATTGCCAGGCTGTAGTGCAGTAGTAGTGTGATCTCAGCTCACTGCAACCTCTGCCTCCAGGATTCAAGTGATGAACCTGCCTCAGTCTCCTGAGTAGCTGGGATTACAGGCATGTGCCTCCACACCCAGCTAATTTTTGTATTTTTACTGGAGACGGGGTTTCACTATGTTGGCCAAGATGGTCTTTATCTGCCGACCTTGTGATCCACCCACTTTGGCCTCCCAAAGTGTTGGGATTACAGGTTTGAGCCACTGCACTCAGCCTCTATAATGTTTTTAAATTGGCAAGGTCATTTCTTATGTGTTGTCTAATTTTATTTTATTCTTTTTTTTTTTTTTTTAAGACAAGTCTCACTCTGTTGGAGTGCAGTGGCGCAATCTCAGCTCACTGAAACCTCCGCCTCCCAGGTTCAAGTCATTTTTTCTGAGTAGTTGGGATTACAGGCATGACCCAGCTAATTTTTTAATAGAGATGGGGTTTTGCCATGTTGGCCAGTCTTGAATATCCTGATCTCAAGTGATCCACCCCAAAATGCTAGGATTACACGCGTGAGCCACCACACCCCACCTTTATTTTTTGTTGTGAAGACAGAGTTTCGCTCTATTGTCCTGGCTGGAGTGCAGTGGCAGCCATCAGCTCACTGTAACCTTAAACTTCTTGGCTCAAGAGATCTCTTACCTCAGCTTCCCTAAGTGCTGGGATTATAGGAGCAAGCCACTGCTCCCAGCCTATTTTATTCTTAAAAAATCATCTTAGATAAAAACTTCCTCAGTTTTACAGTAAAACTCAGAACTCATTTGCTTGATGTCATTCACTAGGAATTGAGAAAGTCAGACCTAAATGCATATTTTCCTCCTGAAAGCATATTATTTTCAATCTCTTTCAATTCTGGCTTAAAACAAAAAAGCAAACAAGAGCACAATCTTTTCTGCATGAATCAGGAATGTGACAAAGGACCATGCTCGCTAACCTTAGGATGTCAGTCCTTAGAAACTAATCCATGAAGCAGCCTTAAAGCGTGTGGTATGCCCACTGGAGCCACAAAGTGTGTAGTGGTGAAAAATACGATTTGGCCAGGCATGGTGGCTCATGCCTGTAATCCCAGCACTTTGGGAGGCCAAGGCAGGCAGATCACCTGAGGTCTGGAGTTCGAGACCAGCCTGACCAACATGGAGAAAATCCGTCTCTATTAAAAATACAAAATTAGTCGGGCGTGGTGGCGCATTCCTGTAACCGCAGCTACTTGGGAGGCTGAGACAGGAGAAACGCTTGAACCTGGAAGGCAGACATTGCGGTGAGCTGAGGTTGTCCCATTGCACTCCAGCCTGGGCAACAAGAACGAAACTTCATCTCAAAAAAAAGAAAAAAGAAAAGAACTTAAAATTTAAATGTACAATTCTGGGACTCAATGAAGTAAATTATGGCGTACTTGTATAAAAGCACGTTATATAGCTTTTCCATGTATTAAGTTATTTCATGGGGAAATGCTTACTCTATTATAGAAAAAGGGCTGGAGGTAATTGAAATAAAGTTCTGCAATAAAGACGTTGCATTGCTCTCTCCATGTTCCACTCAAAACCCTTTCCCACTGATCTCCTACGGTAGGTAGTACCTTCTAGCTGTGGAGTCCTAATCAGGAGAAAGCAAAGAGGTGAGGCAGATAAGCTACAAGTCGTCCTTTTTCTTCATGGTCCAGGACACAGTCCTTCTGTGCAAATAACTCACAGTCTTCCTTCCTGTGTCCTATCACCAAACACCTGCAAGTTAGCTCACGGCAACCTTTGCCTTACAGGCACTGCACAAAGCGCTCTTCAAGGGACAGCATAAAAACCATTCTATACATTCTCCAGCCAGCCTTTGTTTTCTCGCAGTCAACTTCTCTTTTGCTGATCTTGTCCTTTGCCTCTTCGCGAAGTATTTTCATTCTTTTCAAAGGAAATCTGCCTTTCTTTATCTATCTTGGTAAATTCTTTCTCCCACCGCGCCTCTGGCCCAGACAGTTGTCCCTCCCCAGCGACACCAACGTAAAAGAGAATGAATCTGATGGTTTCCAAAGTAACTGATATACACGAAAGTATACACAGCAGGGGAGTCGCGCGGGGAAGTCGCAACCCGTCTACTCACCAGCCACCTGCAGACGCACCAGGGCTTCTTGGTAGCTTCCATCCTCCCTGAAAAAGCACGTGTACTCCCCGTCGTCGGAGGCCCGGATGCTGCGGATCCGCAAGGCCAAACGCCCCTCGGTGAGGCCGTCCTGGACCAGCGCGGCGCGCCCGCGGTACTCGGGCATCTGCTCGGCCTCCTGCTCGCGCCCGTCCCTGTGCACCAGCACGGCCGGCGACACCGTCCTCCGGAACCAGCGCACCTCCAGGGACTCGGCGCTCGCGTTCGGGGACAGGCGGCAGGGCAGCTCGGCGTCCTCACCCACCACAGCAAGGACGGGCTCCGGGGGTCCAGTCACATCAACTGGAACTGCCGAAAAACGAGCGGGGTCAGACTGGACGGCAGGTGGGAGCTGCGGACAAACACGAACCAGGTTCCCGCCAAAGCGCAGTGCCCTGCGCTCTCTCAGTCCTTTGACAGCTGAGTTTGTCTGGATCCAGTGGAGGCCTCCAGGGAGAGCCAAGAGAGATTGTTTATTTTACATTTATAGAGATGTTTCCATTATGCAGGCCAGAGAGAGAGAGACCTACCTGAATCCAGCTGGGGCAGCTGGAGGAGAATGAGGGTGAGCAGACATCTGGGGAAGCCGCAGTTTGGGAAAACTGCCATCTCCGATCTTTCTGGGGCAGCAAGATAACTGGTGTGAGCCCTTCAGGAGCTTCAGCCTAGGAGACGAATGCACAGGAGACAACTACTGGCCCTGGCAATCTCCTGCTTTCCAAAGTCCTCTTGCAGTGCTTTCCAGCAGGGAGCATTCTGGTCATCTGCACCTGAAACCTCCTCTCAGTCTCCATCCCTAGTGTGGATTTTCAGTCTACACTGTGGTCATCACCTTTCCACCCACCACCCTAACTCCAACACCTTAGGAGAAGGTTGCTGTGAGGCGTCACACTCATTAGCTGGCTGCATATAAGATGAACAAATCTTGAAATCACTGCGCTAAAAAAAAAGTCTTCTTTCAAATACAATAATCTGGTATTTGCTTTTGGCAATGATAATAAAGATAAGGGGACAGAGGAGAAACGGAGTCCAAGGAAATGAACTGGAGAAGGAGAAAAGATGGGAAGAGGTGGAGCAAGAAGAAGGAGCTGAATCAAGCAAAAGGGCTTGAAGAGTAGAGGGCCTAGGACAAGGGAAAGGAGCTGGAGGGAGAGAACTATGCTCTGCCCTCCTGGCTGCTTGCTCGCTCAGGGAGCTGAGAGTAACCACACATACTGACCTGGGTGATCTCGGAGAAAAAGGCACAAGAGGCCACTGCTACCAAGTGAGAAAGCTGGCTGTGGCCCCAGGGGCAAAAGTTAAAAGCCAGCAGGAAAAGGAAGAGGGAAGTGATCTCAGGAAAGCCTTCCTCTAGGTGGCCTGGCATATTCACTGTGAGAAAGAAAAGAGAGAAAGAAAAGTTTTTCAGAGAGATGCAAACCTGGATTTGTCAGCTCAGAAATCAATGAGCTGGACTAAATGAAAGGGGAAGAGGAGAAAGGAAGAAGAGAGGCAAGGAAACACACAAATGAGATGTGAGAGCTTCAGCCAGTTATTTTCTCTCCCCAAGCCTCAGTTCTTTGATCTCTAAAATGGTAATATATATTGATCACACCTTCCTTGAAGAGGTGTTGGGTGGCTTAAACGAGATTAAGCAGGTAAAGTGCTTAGCACATAGTAGGAACTCAGCAGACGATAAACTGTTATTCTATTATTGTTTCTGTGGGTTGAAAAATGAAAGCCCAGGGGCCAAGGTAGCAGTAGCCTCTGGCTATAGCTCTTTTCGTTATTGGGGTGTCCACTGAAGGTGCTGTGTCTGTTGGCACAATTCCATCAAATGCCAGTCTTAAGGGTAGGCTGTGAATGGGCTAGCTCATGAAGTGTAATTCTGTTTACAGGGCCCCAAAGTTGCCTCCCTGACAGTTATTTCTCTTGAGGCAACTCATCATGAGGCCTACAATTCCTTATTTTATACTAAACCTACCTCTTATTGTTAAGAAAACATTAAAAAATATAGAAAAATATTTTTATTAAATGGAAGACACACTAATCTACCAACTAATATAGCCTCAATTCACATTTTGCCGTATCTCCTTCCAAGATTTATTTTATGCCTATGTATGTCATAAAAGTAATTAATTAGACTTTTTGTGTAGCACGAAACATTGCTAATAGTTATATAATTGCCATGGTTGTGGGACATTTGAATTTTATTTTTTAAATTTTTATTTATTTAGAGATGAAGTCTTGCTCTGTTACCAGGCTGGAGTGCTGTGGTGCGATCTCGGTTCACTGCAACCTCTGCCTCCCAGGTTCAAGTGATTCTCCTGCCTCAGCCTCCCGAGTAGCTGGGACTACAGGCATGCACCACCACACCCAACTAATTTTTGTATTTTTTGTAGAGATGGGGGTTTCACCATGTTGGCCAGGATGGTCTTGATCTTGTGACCCCATGATCTGCCAGCCTCGGCTTCCCAAAGTGCTGGGATTACAAGTATAAGCCACTGCACCCCACTTTTTTCCTATTATAAATAATACACTTTATATATGTCTTTATTTACAAGGTGGATAAGCTGTTTGATAATTTTTCAGAAATAGAGTCATCAGATCAAATGATGAGCATATTCCTTTTTTTTTTTTTTTTTGAGAAAGAGTCTCACTCTGTTGCCCAGGCTGGAGTGCAGTGGCGAGATCTTGGCTCACTGCAACCTCTGCCTCCTGGTTTCAAGGGATTCTCCTCCTGACTAAGCCTCCTTAGTAGCTGGGACTACAAGCAAGTGCCACCACGCCCAGCTAATTTTTGTATTTTAGTGGAGATGGGGTTTCATCACGTTGGCCAGGCTAGTCTCAAACCTCTGATCTCAAGTGATCTGCCTGCCTTTGCCTCCCAAAGTGCTGAGATTACAGGCATGAGCCACTGTGTCTGACCTTGTATGAGCATATTTCTAAAGTCCCTTCCTGAAATGTTGAACCCATCACACCCTCAATGGCTCACACCTGTAATCCCAGCACTTTGGGAGGCCAAGGCGGACAGATTACAAGGTCAAGAGTTCAAGACTATCTTGGCCAGCATGGTGAAACCCCGTCTCTACTAAAAACAAAAAATGAGCTAAGCATGGTGGCACTCACCTGTAGTCCCAGCTACTCAGAAGGCTGAGGCAGGAGAATCGTTTGAACCTGGGAGAGGGAGGTTGCAGTGAGCTGAGATTGCGCCACTGCACTCCAGCCTGACAACAGATCGAGACAAAAAAAAAAAAAAAAAAACAAACTGCCCTCACTTAATTCCTGTTAGCAATAAGAGTTGTCATTTCACATCTTTACAATTGGGATGGGTCAAGTTAGTCAAATTATTTTTTTATGCCTTTATGTGATAGCGAGCCTGGATATTTTTTATGTGTTAATTTGACATTTAATATTTAATACATTCTAGATATCAGCTTTTCAGGCCAGTTGCCCATTGTTTTCAAGACTGGTACTGGTGCTAGTTCTTAGCAATCTGTATAAACGTTTAACAACTGAAAAATATTAATCCTGGGCCAGGCATGATGGCTCACCCCTGTAATCCCAGCACTTTGGGAGGCCAAAGAGAGTGGATCACAAGGTCAGGAGATGGAGACCATCCTGGCTAACACAGTGAAACCCCATCTTTACTAAAAATAAAAAAATTAGCTGGGCTTGGTGGCGCGTGCCTGTTGTCCCAGCTACTCGGGAGGCTGAGGCAGGAGAGTCTCTTCAACCCGGGAAGGGGAGGTTACAGTGAACCGAGATTGCTCCACTGTGCTGCAGCCAGGGTGACAGAGCAAGACCAAGACTCCATCACACACACAGACACACACACACACACACCCCTGTATTACATTTGTAACAAACATTCTTCCCAGTTTTGTTATTTATCTTTGAGTTGGAATTATGATTAAGACAAAACACAATTGCTCCAGTTTACCCACCAGACAGCCAGGAGAATGATCTTTCCCAAATGCAAATCTGATCATACCGCTTTTTGCTTAAAAATTCTTCAAGGTCTCCCTAGCGACCTCAGCATCCAGTTTAGGCACCTTAATCTGGTTACAAAAATGCTATAGGTATAGCTTGATCTGGTCAAGAAAATATTCTGGCAGTCTCCCTACCTCCTTCCGTGGGCCTTTTCTCCCTTCCCCTTCTCCTTCCATCCCTGCCCACCCACAGGCTGAATCTGGAATGGGTGTGGTTACCTCCACCCACAATGCCTCTCAGGCCTCCAGATAGCAGAGCTTGTCTTCCCTCTTCCAGAATATTCTGTAACCTCTTAACTTTTTTTTTTTTTTTTTTTGAGATGGAGTCTTACTCAGGTGCCCAGGCATGATCTTGGCTCACCGCAACCTCTGACTCCCAGGTTCAAGTGTTTCTTCTGCCTCAGCCTCCCGAGTAGCTGCGACTACAGGCATGCCCCACCATACCTGGCTAATTTTTGTATTTCTGATAGAGGCGGGGTTTCTCCATGTTGGCCAGGCTGGTCTTGAACTCCTGACATTAAGTGATCCACTGGCCTTGGTCTCCCAAATTGTTGGGATTACAGGCGTGTGCCACTGCACCTGGCCTATTCCCTCTTACCTTTATGATGAACTCCTATTCTTCCCTCAAAGGCTCGTGTAAGGGCTGCACCTTCTGCAATGTCTTCCAGATGCTGCATCAAGCAGATACAACCTCACTTCTAGGGCTTCTTCTGAATAGCCTTTGTCCCCACCGAGGGATGTAGACTTTCCTGGAAGATGGGCCAGGTGTATCCTGTGACACTTGGTCCCTTTCTCATGGCACACACCTGATCTGAACCCTAGTTTCAGAAGCAGATGTGTTTATTGTCATCTTTTGTTTCTAAGTTTATCTTCCTCTCTTAAACTTTCCCAATTCTTACTCCCTGCCTTCTCATCAGCATATAGACTGAAACAGAACTTGTGGCTTCATTCAGACCCACCATTTTTTAGCCTTCCTAGTTTGAAAGGCTCCTGTCCCATTTTCCCCTTCATGCTTAACTTTCTGATCATATCATCTATAATCTATTTCCCCTTCCTCATCTCACTTCTTTTATCAGCCCATTTGAATGAGACTTTTGTCTCATGCTTTATATTTTCATGAGATTGTTTTTGAGGGGTGGGGAGAAGAGCTTTTACTTGCAACTAAGGGAGCCAGACTGAGAAGAAAGGGGCTGGGGGAAAGAAGAAAGTACTTGGAGCTCAGCTATTGCATAACAGACACTATTCTGACTGGATAACATCTGGGTCATTTTGACAGAAACCAAGTCATCAGGCTCAGACAATGATCTCTGAAAGGCAAAGAGAGGCTCTCTGAATTTTCCAAGGTTTAGAGAACAGAACTTCCAGGATGCCCCTAGAATGCTCCTACCTGGAGAGGCCTTGTGAGGTGGTGCTGCTCTTAGCACTTCCTGCTCTTCCCAGGCCCACTGAAACAAAAATGACTTCCTCTTAGACATGAAATCATTTGGGCCAAGGAATCTCATATGATTCATATGGAACCTAATAATAAAATGTCAGCATTTGTTTTCCCTCCCCGCTTTTCACTATAACCTGTTAAAATTTCTCAGTGTTAGCCTCTTGTCAAATCCAATGGTTACTCATTCTTATCTTACTTGATTTTCATCACTGAGACAACCATCTGTGTCTTTTCTCTTTATTTATTTTATTTTTTAAATTTATTAAATTTCAAAAATTTAATAAATTTATTAAATTTCTCAAATTTATTTAATTTTGAGACAGAGTCTTACTGTCCCCCAGGCTGGAGTGCAGTTGCGTAATCTTGGCTTACTGTAACCTCCTGGGTTCAAGCAATTCTCATGCCTCAGCCTCCCAAATAACTGGGATTACAGGCATGCCCCACCACGGCTGGCTAATTTTTTGTACTTTTAGTAAAGATGGGGTTTCACCATATTGGGCAGGCTGGTCTTGAACTCCTGACCTCAAGTGGTCTACCCGCCTCGGCCTCCGAAAGTGCTGGGATTAGACGGGTGTGCCACCAAGGTCAATGTGTTTTCTTTTTAAATTTGGTTTTCAAACAGTTTACTGTAGCTCAATTGTTTTATCTGGTACTTATCTACATGCTTCTTAAGACAATACCATATTCTGTCAAAGTAATACACATAAAGAATTTTTTGTTTGTTTGTTTTTTAAATCATATAGGACAAAGACCTTTTAAGAATGTCAGTCCTGCCAGGCATGGTGGCTGATGCCTATAATCCTAGCACTTTGGGAGGTCAAGACAGGTGGATCATGAGGTCAGGAGATCGAGACCATCCTGGCTAACACAATGAAACCCCATCTCTACTACAAATACAAAAAAAAAAAAAAAAAAAAAACAAACAAACCCAAAATGTCAGTTCCACTTCTCACTTCCCACCTACTACTCTCGAATCCCCAGAAACAGCCTCTTTAAATGCTCAGTTGTTTTATCTGGCACTTATCTACATATTTATTGAGACAATAACATATTTATCCTGTGATTTCTCTATATAGCCATTTCTACACAGTACTTTTCTGTACTCTATTATGATCAGTTATGACTTAGCTCTCTTATATCATCAGTAGTAATATATCACAACTTTTGTTCCATGTTTCCAATACTGTCATTACGTAATTGTAATTCTATGGACCCAAGTTTCATATATGACTACATTTATTTTCATGTACAACCTCTTGTTTTTTTAGTAGGGAGGGGGTGAAATGATTCATTTTTGTTCCTTTGTTTAGTTTTCCTTATTCCCCTCACAGGTTTTTTCCAGTCCTCTAATTGCCTGTAAGCACAGTTTCCATAGTAAAACATATCAGGTAATTTATCAATCCCCTCTCCTCATTCTTCCCAGAGCAGCGCTTGGGTCTTACTTAAGAAGAGATTTTGATTTAGTAGGTCTGGAATAGGACCAGGATTCTCACTGCTAGTTGCTCTGGTCCACAGGCCAAGATCTACAGTCTACAGATCTTTTTTCTTTTTCTTTCTTTCATGAGATGGGAGAGGTGGGCTGTGGGGGTGTGGGGTTGGGCGTGGGAGTCTTGCTATGTTGCCCAGGCTGGACTTGAACTCTCCAGTAGCTGAGAATACAAGCACGTGCCACTGCACCCACCCAGGTATCGCTCTTTATCTTGCTCCTTATTCAGGAGCTTTCTGTGAAGGGGCAGCTTCCAGCTTTGCATGAATTATGGAGATGCCTCTGAGGGATGGTTCTGGCTCAGGGTCTTGGGCTTGTTTTGCATGTGGCCATACTGAACCAAGACAAAGGACTGGTGTGAATGGGCATCATGTACAATACTGTATTCTTCTGTGGCTTGCTAGTGAACTTTGTGGTCAGCTGCTCTTTCTTGGGGGCTCACACTATTGATATGGTAGTAATAATCAGATATGACCCAGTGGCACTTCAACATTATTATAGTGACATAATTCCCTTATTTGCCAAGCCCTTGTTAAAATTATACATATGGAGTTTGTATAATTTTATAATTATAATGTGTATAATTTATGCACAACAGTTTCATATGTGAAGGTGGAGGGGAAGTGAAGTGGAGCTGGTGTGGAGATGAAGGTGGTGGACTTCTATGTGGAAGGGGAGTTAGCAGGGGTTTGCCCTGGGAAAGAAAAGGCCAAGATCTGGTGGACTGTGGACATCCCTGAATTATATTCTTAGAAGTACTTTTGAAATGGAGAATTCCTAGAAGAAGAGGGTAGACAGGGAACTCAAAGGAGTCAATAAATAAGGGTTGGCTTCAGCAAGAGAGAAAGAGTTCAGGGAAGGGATCAAGGCTGTGTGGATCAGTGGTTGAGCTTTGCCCAGAATTTATCCCCTTGCAGCCTCTGAGCTACCTTCCATATCTGTTAATCTTAGTTTTTCTTCCTGTTACCTGGTGGTGTAGATCTTTCCAAAGCAGGTGTACATTCTCCTTCAGGAGGATAGGCCATGATAAATATGAAAATGCAAGACATATAAATCTTAGGAGCAGCCTATGAATTCATTATTGTCCTGACTTCACCCTACTTTCCTTTTTTTGGTAGAGACAGGGTCTCAAATATTTTTCACTTTCAAATCTCTTGAGCCCTTGAACCCTTGGGAGGAGGGAGCTCAGAACCCTGGAGAAGTAAAGAGCCTCTGACCTGCACATAACTGTGCTCTTTTCCATTTGGCAGTAACGAAGGGGTTTATAAAAGGTTTGTTGTTTGCTGAACAACAGGGGGAGAAAGCTCAGATTTTTTCAAGTCCTTTTATGAGTTTATTTAGAAAATGAAAAAAATTATGATTTTAGTGAAAGACATGGGAAGACAGAAGTATGCATGAAACATACGATGAAACTACTGTCCCCTTCTGTGAATCCGACATTACTGAAACATTATCAGTAAATCATGAACATGCTTTTTGTTTCAGTTCTTGTTCTTAGAAATCAGTGGGAAGTTCCTTTTGGCTTTAGATGCTAGGAAATTTTGCTGTATCTGGGAACGAAAAGTCTTGGGGCCAAGTTTGGGGAGGGTGGAGTGGCACTGGGAGGATTATGGTGGGGTCTGACCTGCGGCCATGCTGAAGCTCACTGGCCAGAGCCACCTGGAGCCTAGCCAAGTGGGTTTAGTGATACTTATTACAGCAGTCTGGATTCCACACACTATGGGCGGATTCCACACACCATGCGGAACTGGAAGGTGCAGCACATCACTGATAAGAAAATATGGGAGGAATCTGTTGTAGGATTTAAGCCTGCGGTAGGTGATTTTGGAGATGTTCAAGAAAGCAATGGATTGCTCTGGATGAATGTCATGAAGCAAGAGACAATTTTGTGTGTGTGTTTTTGTTTTTGAGGCAGGGACTCACTTTGTCACCCAGGCTGGAGTACAGTGGCACCATCTTAGGTCACTGCAACCTCCGCCTCCCATGCTCAAGCTATCCTCCCTCCTCAAGCTCCCTAGTAACTGGGATTACAGGTGTACACCATCAAACCCAGCTAATTTTTCAATTTTTGGTAGGGACAGGGTCTCACTATGCTGGTCTCGAACTCCTGGGCTCAAGCCATCCTCCTGCCTCTGCCTCCCAAAGTGCTGGGATTACATGAGTGATGCCCCGCCCTATTCCAATACTTTTGGCAGTGGGAGAACAGAGAGGGCTTAAGTTGTAATTGGTAAAGCAGCAGTTACTCTGTTTAGCCAGGAGAGGGGGATGTGTGATCATTTTGTGATTTGCAGGATGCTCTTGTTTTTGTGGTCTGGCATGATTATGACGTGGTCGTGTTTTTACCCCACTCAGTCACAGTGACAGAATAGCCTTGTTTGATATTTAGTGCTTTGTGAAGTGTCTTCTTTTCAGTAGGAAACACACAGCCTAGCTGGGAGTGCCTGGTCTGCTCTCAGCTGATGGCTGTCAGGCCTGCTTTTTTTCTTTCTCAATCACAGCCCTCATTCTCTTTCAGGTTTTTGTTTGTTTGTTTTTGAGATGCAGTCTCGCTCTGTCACCCAGGCTGGAGTGCAGTGGCTCAATTTCTGCTCACTGCAACCTCTGCTTCTGGGGCTCAAGTGTTTCTCCTGCCTCAGCCTCCCAAGTAGCTTGGGATTACAGGTGTGCACACCACACATGGCTAATTTTTGTATTTTTAGTAGAGACAGGGTTTCACCAAGTTGACCAGGCTGGTCTCAAACTCCTGAACTCAGGTGATTCTCCTGCCTCTGCCACCTAAAGTGCTGGGATTACAGGCGTGAGCTACTGCTCTCAGCTGTATTTGGCTTTTGTAAGTTTTATTGTCCCTTTCAATTTTGAAAAACCTAGAATCTAGGTTTATAGATTTAGATGGCTTTTGACTGGAAATCATCATAAGGATATAAATCCAAGCACATGTCCAAGGTTTAAATCCCCACCAGGCTAGCACACTCCTGACAAATTGCCTGACGTGGTGAAATGGACCAGGAAGTAAATTCATCCTTTCTCTGTCTTCCCCCCATTTTATTTCCGAAAGAAAAAATATTGTCCTATTGGGAAGTCTGAGGCATGCTACAGCCACTGAGCAAAGAATCAATCTTAGAGTAAGGGAGCTAAAACCAAATACCTCGAAAAGTCAATGAGAAACTCTGAGGAAGTATTCTCCCCGTAATTACACAGCGGTATGGGGGTTGGAGACCACTCAGGGCCTTCTGTGCCTGTGCATCTGTGCTCCAATTCATCCTTCCCTCCTGCAGCAAAAAACAGTGGCTCCAAGTCCAACCCGGTCAGAAAGTTTTGACTCTTTCTGAAAGAGAGAAGGAGGGAGATAAGCACAAGGTATTATGAGAAAGGGTTTACAAAATAAAGAAACAAAAAAATTGAACCATTGGAGTTGATGTTTAAATCCCTCCAAACTAATAAATACAATATGGAAAATGGGGAGAATCAGGAGTGAGAATAAGGGGAGGTGAGTAGGAAGGACGGAAATGTGCCATAAAGTGGGAAGGGGTCTGGCCTTTGGCGATTCGTCTGTCTTCCCTTTCTCTGCTTTCTGAAGAGTCACATCAGGAATAAGTCAGCTTCCTTCAGGAGCCCCTCCTTGCTTTCTAGACAGGCACTATTGAGATGTTACTTTCCTTCACGTATTGGTTATTTATTTATTTATCGAGACAGGATCCTCCCAAAGAGCTGGGATTACAGGTGTGAGCCACTGCGCCTGGCCGCTTGAGGGACTTTTATTTGTAACAAGACAACCTTTACTCACCATACATTTCCTTCTCTCACCTTCCCATAATTTGTCTCCATCGTTTTGCAGAAACCCTGTCCCCTCCTTTCTGTAGCTCAGGATGCTGTATAAGCTTCAATCATCCGGCCCTTCTTTGAGTCTCATATTTTGAGATTTGAGGGACTCTTGTGCATACACATGTAATTAAAATGGTTTTTCTCCTGTTAATCTGTTTTAGATAGATTTAATTTGCAGCCCAGCCAAATAACCTTGAGGGGTAGAGAGAAGCAGATTTTCCCCTCCCTTACACAAGGAACCAACCACCAGGCAGGTCTAGTAATGACAATTCTCTGGGAATAGGGTTTTGAAGGAGCTCTAACCCTTTTCTAGTCCCTCCAGTGACTGTTAGGAGCTGTTTTTCACTGTGATCATGGGCTGCTTTCTAGTCTACTGTAGGGCTGTGGTGGAGTGATGGTGGTATAATAGAACATGTTAAAATGCCTATAAAACACTGTTCTTATTGAGTTCAGCCATTTTTCTTGAATAAAATTCACTCTGATTGCTGCAAGCCTTTGGTTAATTTACAGAGTTCTTACAACGTTGATTCTGGCAGTTTTTGTCAGTGTTTATTGCTTTCAGGGAGGAAGGGATTTTCAGAGGTCCTGACTCTATGATTCTCACTGATTTCCCTACGTGTGTGTGTGTGTGTGTGTATGTGTGCGCGTGCGTGTGCGCATGCACACAGTGTGTTTCATGTCTAAAAGTATAATTTGAAAATAACTAATGCTTTAAAACCTTAGCCTTTTCCTCCCAGGATAGATTTGGCTATCTTAGAGTAGCAATTCTCAGATGTTTTAGTCTCTTTACCTCCTTATACTCTTGAAAATAATTGAGAACCCAGAGAGTTTTTATTTATGTGGGTTATATCTATCAACATTTAGCATTTAAAAATTAAAACTGGGCTGGGTGCGGTGGTGCATGTCTGTAATTCCAGCACTTTGGGAGGCTGAGGTGATTGGATCGCTTGGGCTCAGGAGTTTGAGATGAGCCTGGGCAACACAGTGAGACCTTGTCTCTACAAAAGATACAAAAATTAGCTGGGTGTGGTAACGTGCACCTGTAATTGCAGCTACTTGAGAGGCTGAGGCAGGAGGATCACTTGAGCCTGGGAGGTGAAGGTGGCAGTGAGCCGAGATGCCACCACTATACTCCAGACTGGGCGACCGAGTGAGTCTCAAATAAGTAAATAAATAAATAAAACTGATTTTTTTTCTTTTATTTTTGGAGACAGAGTATCAATCTGTTGCCCAGGCTGGAGTGTAGTGGCATAATCTCGGCTTACTGCAAACTCCACCTCCCGAATTCAAGTGATTCTCCTGCCTTAGCCTCCCAGTAGCTGGGCTTACAGGCACGCATCACCATGCCTGGCTAATTTTTGTATTTTTCACAGAGATGAGCTTTTACCACGTAGGCCAGGTCTCAGATTCCTGGGCTCAAGTGGTTCACCTGCCTCAGCCTTCCTAATTGCTGGGATTACAGGCATGAGCCACTGTCTCTGGCCCCTACAAAACAACATTTTAAACACAATAATACACACTGTGACATACCTTCCAATAGGTGTCAGATGGATGATGTCATCATGTCTTTAACATCTGGAAAAGTCCAGTGCACACATGTGAGAGTATGTGAGTAAATGAGGCAAATAACTTTTTACAAAAGTAATTAATTAATTTTTTAAAATAGAGGTGTGGTCTCACTATGTTGCCCAGGCTGGTCTTGAATTCCAGGGCTCAAGTGATCATTCCACCTCATTTTTTTTTTGAAACAGGGTCTCACTCTGTCACCCAGGCTTGAGTGCGGAGGTGTGATCACAGCTCACTGCATACTCAACTTCCGAGGCTCAGATGATCCTCCCACATGAGCCTCCTGAGTAGTTGAGACTACAGGCACTCACCACCATGCCCAGCTAATTTTATGTATTTTTTGTAGACATGTGGGTTTCACCACATTGCCCAGGCTGGTCTTGAACTTCTGGCTTCAAGTGATCCGCCCACCTCGGTCTCCCAAAGTGCTGGGATTACAAGCATGAGCCAGCACGTCCAGCCGCAAATAACATTTTAGTATTATTATGAAAATTGTCTTGGCCAGGTGCGGTGGCTCACGCCTGTAATCACAGCACTTTGGGAGGCCAAGGCAGGTAGATCACCTGAGGTCCGGAGTTTGAGACCAGCCTGACCAATATGAGATAGAGACAGCTGACTCTATCTCAAAAAAAAAAAGTCCCACAACCTTAGGGGTCAGACCACACTTTTAAGAATCACTATCTTAGTGGTTCTAGAGAAACAGACTATAGGACATTTACTGGGGAGTCCCTCAGCATCAACACCTTGGAGATGTTAAGGAAGGAGGATAGACGGAAGGAAGATAGACAGAAGGAGAAGTTGAAATATAATGCAGTCTCACAATGAGCTCTGGAACTGGGGCGGCCCTTCAGAGTTGTGCAACTTGTGCAAGGGGTCCAGTCATTGGATGTGGTCCACTGCTGAGGTGCAATAACCTTGGCCTCTTGGAGCAACAGGGCTCTCTTTGGCCCTTTAACAATTGGCTGGTATGCAGTCAGCTGAGGGCCCTGGGCCACCAACACTGCAGCTGGTTGACTGTGTGTCTCAGTCCCTCATGGAATGATCAGGGCAGTGCACCCCAGCATCCACCTCTGTGGGGAAATGAGGGTGGAGTTGCACAGTTTGCGTGGAGTGGGGAGGCAGAGAGAAGAAAAGGTTTTGGTGCTGGACATAGTATAAAACAAAGGGGGAAGGAATCTGTGTTTCTCAAGTACAGCTTGCAGTTCTATCTGAAGTTGGTCCCTGAGTTCACGTGCGAGAACTCCCATTATTTCTCCTCCTCTGCATAAGAATTCCTTGAACCAATGGGAAAATTCTCATGGATTTCCTTAGAGAACTTTCTACTTTGGGCAGCTGGAGGAGAATGAGGGTGAGCAGACATCTGGGGAAGCCGGAGTGTGGGTGACAGAGATAGTGACAAAGGAAGTGAACTAGAGGAAGAAAGATCAAAAGATGGGAGGAGGTAAGGAGGTTACAGGCAAGGGCAAGTAGGCAGGGACCTATTGCACTGGTGCACTTGCTCTGTTATACCCGAGTGAGTACAGGAATGCGCCACACTCTGAGATTGCGTTTCGAGTCCTTTATTGCTGGCGACCGAGAGACGGCTAATGCCCAAAATTCTCTCAGCTCCGAAGAAAGAGTTAGGTAGTTTTTTATACCCTAGATTGAAAAGGGAGGTGCGGGGGAAACCTAGCTGACACAATTTTTCACAGAAGCAGTGCAAGCAAGAAGTTAAAAGATAAACTAGTACATAAGAAGTAAACAGTACCAGGTGCAGGGGCTTAAGCTGTCACAAAAGACCTATACTTATAGACATGGGGCTTCTGGGTACTTAACATCATCTGCGTTCCCAGGGTCTGCTGGTACCGCTTGACTCAGTATCTTATCAGCAAATGCATTCCTGCATGTGCCTGGTGTCAACCTGCCCCAGCCACACACTACAGTTACATACATACAGTTTGTCCGGCTTCTTCAATTAAGAATGAGTTGGTTAGGCCAACACAAGGTAACACAGCTCACCTGGGCAGGGTGTTGACAGGCTGTTGTGGGGATGTTGGGGGCATCTAGAAAATACGGAGTTGAAAAACTTACAATATACATTTGAATCTTTGAGGGGCATCTCTTTTTAGAAACATTTGGAATACCAGGAAATATTTTAAGTTTTTTCCTCTTCTGGCTGGGGGGGAATGGCTTATGCCTGTAATCACAGCACTTTGGGAGGCCAAGGTGGGTGGATCACTTGAGGTCAGGAGTTCAGGACCAGCCTGGCCAAAACGATGAAACCCCAACTCTATTAAAAATACAAAAAATTAGCCAGGTGTGGTGGCATATGCCTATAATCCCAGCTACTCCGGAGGCTGAGGCAAGAGAATTGCTTGAGCTGGGGAGGCGGACACTGCAGTGAGCCGAGATTGCACCACTGCAGTCCAGCCTGGACGACAGCGAGACTCTGTCTGAAAACAAACCAAACCAAAGAGTCTTTTGCTCCTTTCTGACCATAATTAGTTCCTAAGAACATGCAGTTGGAAGGTTTCTTCATTCAGGTTGTCCCTCTTCAGCCAAATCTGAGCCTCTTCAGGTCCTTACCCTTGGCATTCTGCCTTCCCCTCTTCACCCCTTTCTCTGTGTCAGTTTCCCTCAGCTATTCAGCCCTTCTTCTTCCAGGCCCTGTAGCCCTGGCTCTAAGTAGTTTCCCCACTAAAATCACTAGTTCTCTGTTGTTAATAAAAACTTTAGACAAATTAAATTTAGCCAAGTTTAGTTTGAACAAAGAACAATTTGCAAACCAGCAGAATGACGGGGCAGCCATCAGAGGTTCGGAAAGCTCGGTTCCACCAGGGAAGTGAGGTACAGAAACAGCTTAACTGGCTACAGCTGCGAGTTGGCCTGGTTTGAACTTCGTCTGATCAGCTGGCTGCCTGTGAGTTACTGAGGTTTGGCTACTGGGACTGGCTGAGACTCAGCTATTCATAACAAAAGTATACTCCAGTGCCTTAGGCTTTCCGGTAGTTTACATACTAAGTTAGGTTGCAGTTCATTATTTAAGGGCTCGGGTAAGGAACCATCCCTCAGGCTAAATGTAGGCATATCTCATACCAAATTTAGTTTAATTTAACACAGGCATTTCCACTTTAGTTGAGATTCTCTGATCCAGAACAAATGAAAAGAAAGCATATGCTGAACACTCACTCTGAGAAACAGAGAATCCTCTTTGTAGGAATTCGTTTTTTGATTGGCTCAGAGGTACCATTTCTCATCAGTTGCTGGGCAGAAACCACTGGAGA